ACACACACACAGACAGACACACTTCCACCAACACATGATGTATTATTAGCATTCTCTGTGACTTTAACCTGGTGAGTGTAAACCACGCTAACAGAAGGAGGCCGGGGGAAGACTGGCCCAGGGTTACCTCCAGCTCCAAGGAAGAGCGTGGGAACAAGAACATATTGTGTGTGTGTGTGTGACGTAGGTGTGTGCTCTATAAGAATAAGACAAACCAGCAAGCAAAAAGTCAATCTAAACCTCTCCTGATCCGAGCTTCTCTTTGTCATGATTCATCTTTTCGACCTGATTTGACACAGACGTCAGTGAATATTCTCCACGCTGTCTCACACACACGAGCATGTGATTCAAATACCACATTAACATATGTGTGTGATGTCATCATAGCAGGGATAAAAACTCTCTCAGAAACAATCTCTGAGCAATGCTTTGTATTAAACAACAATGTGTGTGTGTGCGCATATTTGTCTTCGGTCCCTATTTGTGTAACATCTTGACTCCAATCTCCTTTAGCGCAATGAGTAAGCACTTCCCATCACCCCACTGTGTGTACGAGTGGTGAGACACACGCCGTAATGTTGTCACATGATGCGCGCCTTAATCACTTCACTGACACCTAATGGCAAATGTGTGTGAATGTGAATGTGCTGCCGCTACCGTAACATCACAATTTAGAGACGCTGTAATCTGTTAATCCTTCCTGGATGAAATGGCTGTTGTCAAGACAACGCCGCATGCATCTCTCCTTCCTGAGCTCTGTTGTCCTCCTGTTGCTCGTTTCATTAAAGAGCATTATTGATGGAGCACTCTCTGTTTCCCATTTCTTGTCGCTCTTTGCATCACTCAAACGAAGCCAGATTATATTTTGGCATCAAATTGTAAATCCTCCAAGAGTGTACGCCAGTCTTTTAAATTCATTCTTATGCAACTGTGTGCTTAAAAGGGTATAAAACCTGTTTATGTGTCCATCCGTTACATCAGAGAGCGTGAAGTAGCCTTGAGATTACTTTGCCCTCACGGTGTAAAGCTGCATAATGTTGTGTAATCTTAAAGGCTACTGCTGCTCCACATCAACAGCAAACACACATTCACACACCATCCAGCGCTCCCCAATCAGTCTGCCTTTTCCTCGGCTTTTAACGGGTCCCGACAGAACTGCTGTATGGACGGGCTGCGGCTCGCAGTGCGCTGAGTCAGCAGGAAATTACCATTCAACACGGACAGCCCTCACTACTACGGTGTGATATAATACAGCACCACAACTGTACGGCCCCAAGGGATGGTGGTGGTGGCGGTGGCGGGATGATGAGGGAAAGGGAGTGGAAAAACAGGCCTTTGCTGTAACTCGGCTGACGCTCAGTACAAGGTTTTAGCAACATTTCACCCCAATCAAAGCATCTCAAACATATTTAACACCACTACAGGGGACACAGCAGCCACTGCTCTTGTGACAGCCTTTGTTGCAGGGTTGTCATGAGGAAAATTGGCCTGCAAACGCTGAGCTCAAATTACAGAAAGAATTTCTGCTGGCAGATCCAAAGTGGTGACCCGGAGGAAAGAATGTGTTGCGTAAAAGAGGGGAGGGAGCGAGGGGAGCGGCGAGAGGTAATAGTGCTGCTATAATGGTAATATTCTAAGCTAATGATGGACTCCTGGCAGGTGATGTGTGTGCTTAAGATGCTCTTGCAGCAGAGTTTGCTGGTGCATAATGGAGAGTAAAGCCCCTTTTTACACATGGAATCTGTTCTGCAACACTGCTGGCTCAATCTATCTGTTGGAGATATTACATTTTGGCACACAGGTCTCAATCACACAATTCCTCTATTCAAACAGCTGCATTGCTTTGTATGATATTTGGCACCTCATGCACAAGTGGAAGAGTTAGCATGGCTGAGAACAGCCAAGAGCTGGAAAATAATATCAACGAAGAGGAGTGTATTCAGTTCTCTTGAAAACTTATTTTGCAGCTCAGTGTTCCTCTACGTGGCTTATTAACTGACCATCACCAGTGCAAGAGACACTGCCAGTTCTCATAACTAACCCTAGTCCCTTGGGACACATTTCTTCCTCAATGTCATCATTCATTAGATAAATTAGAGATCTCTGCTGCCTGTCAGAAAATATTTAAAACTGACAAGAGGTTGGACAAATCTGCTGTTTTTAAACAGTTGTTGGGTATTCATATACTGTAAGCGGTTGACATGAGTGAAAGCTGATGATTAATGTGGTTTTTCAGGGTTATTTCTAAGCTTTTAGCATTTTTTGGGGCATTATTTTGATACCCAATAGTAGCAAGGTGACAAATGTGATTCGAGAATCAACTAAGAACAAACTAATTTTCATTATTGATTAATCTGCAGATTATTTTCTAGATTAATTGAGTTATTGTTTGATCTATAATATAAATGTCAGAAAATAGTAAAAAAATGTCCATTCCGGTTTCTCAAAGCCCAAGGTGATGTCTTTAAATGTCTTGTTTTGTCAGTCCAAAGCAGGAAATCTCCATAATTGATTAATAACACTTTCTTTTGTTGGATCGATTAACCAATCATTGCAGCTCTAGTTGTGATTACATGGTGATTGTTTAAACCCCTAGGCTACCAGGAAGCCATTGTTTGTTACTCTTTTTACTTGCATTGTAATTAACTTGTTCTTTTAAGATCTCTCTGTTCATAATGTAATGGCATTTCATTCATACTTGAGCTCTGTTAGAAGTGTTTTTGTAAAATTGTCCTTGCAACTTTTATTAAAAAATCACAATAACATGAAAGACTGCCAGCACATTAAAGGGCATCTTTGGAAGGGTTAATGGAGATTGACACATCTGTGTACTGGTCTGCTTTACTTAAGCAAGGGTTTTTCTGTCTGCGCCCTCTATATACCTGTGTAAGCGAGGTGAGACTCCTTTACTGAGAAACGCCCTCAGAGGACCATATCATATTGCAACACATTTAAATTTCATTTAAATCTTTAGATGAATAGAATAAAGTTGGAACATTAGTGTGTAAGTGTGAATACTGTTCTTAAAGATACAAAACATGAGAAAATTCTCTTTAATATTCTACAACACTCTCTGCAGTTTACTTCTGATTTTGTCTTTTGGTTTCCTTGAAATCTGATCTGATCAGTAATCACGGCTCCATAAAGCCATTAGTATTGACTACTACTAAAAATGTTTTCATAACACATACTGAATAATAATTATCACGCTGAATTATCATAAAAGATGATACAAAAAAATGGAGGGAGGGACAGAGACAGAGAGAGAACATTTTGGAAAGGCTTTTGAAGAGATTGTGCAGGCTTTATGGGTCTGTCGGAATTAGAAAAGATAGAGTGACACTACAGGGCCAGCAGCTCAGTTGTGCTTCCTGCTGCCACAATACAAGACAAACACATGACAAATAACCAGTTAACCACCATCTGACTGCCTTTAATGCCATATATGATATGGTATGTGCAGTGATAAAAGGGTACACTAGATATATAACAATTCTAATGATTACCCTCCATGTTCACTGTTCTTAAGTCTTTGCTTGGAGATGTGTGTGTGTGTGTGTGTGTGTACCTGCAGTACTATCGGAAGCTGCTCAGGAGGGTTCCTGTTCTCCACACCCATCGTCAACCACACCTCAAATGCTGTGAGCTGCTCCCCAAAGAAAGGACTGGGCTGTGGACACAAAACACATGATTTTACACACATCATGATTTTGAAGAATTTACTGTACTTACTCTTTCTCTCTCTCACACACACACACACATACACACACACGTGATAATGAGCTAGTCTGCAGTGACAAGCTTATCATTTCATAAAAGACCTGACACAATGAGCTAAGGAGTGACACTGCACTGCAGTAGCGACATAAATCCTGATCTATCATGATCACCTTCTCTCTCTCTCTCTCTCTCTCTCTCTCTCTCTCTGCTGCCATGGCAGTTGCCTGATTGATTGGTTGCTGGCCGCAGAGTTTTTGATCACGCTGAGTGTTAATATTGCAGCGGGAATTACGACAGCGTCGTGTAGAGTGTTGATGGATGTAGAGAGGGGAAATATCAATGCTTCACGGCTGGATAGCTAAATTAATTTGTGCATAATCAAAGCTTAATAACTCTATACACACACACTCACATACTCACTGATACATGAAAAACGGTGGTGTATAGCGGGTGTAGGTCTCGCTTAGAGACTGAGCTCCTGTATTTGGAACACTTCAAACAGTGGGTTTGATGTTGCATTCTGGGAGGGAATATAAAAAAAGGTTGCACTGGCACCTTTACTACAAAGACCCCTGTGCTTTACTGATTTGATTAATACTCAATTCTATTGCAAATAAGAATATGGTTAAATCAGGGATTCTGCAGGGTTCACCAATTTAAATGTGAGACTTTTAAAGACCTTTTTAATACCACATAGAATGCAATTTAATACTTTTTATGGTCATACTGTATGAAAGTAGGATGAAAAACCAGTAGGGAAAATATGGCCTAGAATGACTTATTATTATATAAGAGTTTTTTCAGTATTTCCCAGCATTATATGACAGTAATTCCTAAAGATAATGAATTAAATCAACACAGCTGGAACCAGATAAGCAGCAGAAAAGAGATAGATGGATTAAGCACTTTTAGTTTATAGCTGTAATGCTACACAGCCTTAATCAGATACATTAACATTTTATAACTAATATTACAGTCTACATCAGGCAAGAGAAAATATTTATGACATTTGTAAATTAAATTTAGATCAGACTTTTTAACAGCTTCTAAGGCCTCTCTTTGAAGAAAAACACATTTTTCATGGTAAAATGGTAAATGGGACCTACTATGTATAGCCGCCTTCTAGTCTTGACCACTCCAAAGCGGCTTTTACACGTACGTGCACATTCACCCTTCACACACATTCCACACAGCGATTGGCAAAGTCCATCGAACAAGAAACTTACACATTAACTACACATTTCACACAACTGATGCTTGCATCTCAGGAGCCAATTTGGGTTTCAGTATCTTGCCAAGATACTTCTACACTGCCCAGGGAGGAGCCGGATGAACAACAACCTCCGATTGGGGACGACCGCTTACCTCCTGAGCCACAGCCGCCCCTAATAATGCAAAATTATGCAAAGAAGGTGGAGGTGCTTATTTCAGCACTGACTAATCCTACTGCATGTAGCCTGAGAGGCAAAACCTAGGACAAAAATGATGTTCAAAGATATTTTAATAGGAAAATCAAACTATAAAAGTGAAGTCTTCAGACAATACTGTCAGTGTTTTGTGCCATCTACTAATACTTACTGGTAATAATGGACACAGGGACAGTTCTTAAAGGACCAGTGTGGAGGATTTAGTGACATCTAGCGTGTAGTTGCCAAGTGCAAAAGGAGAAACTAAGGTGGCTGTGAAAAACGCACACGTCCCTTTCTACAGCCAGTGCTTGGTTTGTCCATTCTGGGCTATGGTGGAAACATAGCGGGTTTAACATGGCAGCCTCCAAAGAAGGCAACCTGTGGTGTCTATAGATAAAAACGACTCATTCTGTGGTAATGAAAACACATTTTTTTTAATTTTCAGGTGATTATACACTAAACAAAACACACTTGACCTTAAAGGGATAAAAGGAAGCTGACTGAGAGGACAGTGAAACTGAAGGAGAATGGATCCCACAATCAAGTTTGAGTAGCTTCTTGTAGAATTAAATATTTCTTAAACCGGGAATGATTAATATGTGACAATTATAATACCACAAACACCATTTTGCATGTATATTGCAAGAATAGAGTGGAAACGAGGAGTAGGAGAAGGGGATCCCTCTGAACACAGCACTTCTGTGATGCTCGTCTGTTTCAGGACCAAATCTTTCTAATGCAGGTGAGGCTTATTTTCACTTTGAGCTGTACAGAAATCAGATTTTCGTTGTGTTCTTTATGTCAATGTGGCTCTGGGAAACAGAAGCACAGAGCTGTGGTGCGGGACAGTAGAGGGTTAAACTACTGCCAGGCAACATAATTGCCAAGAGAAAAAATGAAACTATATTTTTTCTGCAGCTTTAAAGAAAATGAGGTAAACAGCTGAAGCACATCAGAAAGGAATTAAAGGCTCCTGAAAGACGGAGCAAGACAGAGAGGGAAGATCCCCTTTAGTGGTCCTCAGAGGCTCAATTATGCTGCCGGTAAGTGTTTTCGGCCCGAGTGCAGGAGAAAGGAGTGGAGGATCGGTGATGGAAAACTGCTCCCGGGGGAGTGATGGAGAAGATGCCCACCTCCGAGGGCCAGGTGCAGAAGAGAAAAGGCCCAGATAAAAAGTGCTTACATCAGAAGAAAAGCTGCTCTGGTCCCACTTTCTCTGTTTTCATAGTTTTCTGAGTAGTTTGCATTACAAAGCACATGTTGCTGCTCTCTGGTCTGTCCAGCATCTGGTGTGTGTGTGGGTGTGGGTATGCGTCTGCTCTCACACACACACAGAAATGTCTTGTGTTGACCCAGATATCTTCAGTCATCATCAGTTCAATCAGCCTCTCGCAGCGTGTTTCCATTACATTCAGCATCTCCATCACAGTCCCCAGCCGCGTCAGTAAATATAACAATAAACTGGCTGAAAGTGCAGGGCCGGTGCTTTCAGAAACTATTTTTTATTTGACACTCACACTTGAATTATTGGACCTGACGTTTTACAATGTTATCCACTGGGAATGAGAGTGTGTGTGTGTGTGTGTGTGTGTGTTTGAAAGATTAATAGAGATGCTGTAGATGCTGGTGGTGGACAACTTGCAGTGCAAACAAGATCTGTTGATGTTTACAGGCGTCAGTGGTGAACAGATCTGAGATAAGAGCCATCCATCAATGCTAGATAAACAGTAACCATCTATACACCTATACACAAACGCCTAATCTTTACACACACAAACACACTCAATGTAGCATTTTTCACCTTCCAAGCAAAGCTGAAGAGGTCTCGATGTTTGTTTTTCTCTCATACACACACAGACTTACTCTGAAGGTGGTGCCCTCCTCAATAATGGTAGGCAGCTGAGAGAGGCAGATGTCCACAGCCAGGTCCCATGCTTGCCTGTAGAGAGGTGACACACACACACACGCACACACATACATACACACACACACAACAAACACACACACAACACACACACACACACACACACAAAAAGGACATTAGAATGACCACACACATTTATTGCAGTTTAAAATTAATCTTTTTATGACCTGAAGCAAATGCATTTTTTTCTTTCCCTCTTCACCCCGTCACTCATTCTTCCCCATGCACATACAGCTCTTTAAATTCCCAGCCTGAGGTCCTGGAGAGGGCAGCAAGGAGCCTTTAAATCCTGTCTAAACAGCAGCTTTCTCTCATGGTCATCATATCTAATTCATGGGGTTATGTAACTCACATCAAACCCTATCACAGCTCCTCTAGTCTTTCTGTCCGTCTCTCTTTTCCTTACACTTCCTGGCTCCTTTTTTCTCGCAGCAAATTGAGCTCAGGGCCTCAATGGGACTCTTTCCCTCTCAGTTATAGGGTTTGAGTCATGTTCCCAGTAGATGCACTGCGATGTAATGTGATGCTGAATGAGTGACACGGAGTTCACTCTGTATGAGACTCTCTCTGCTTCTTAAACAGCTTTTCCCATTAGCTGGGAGCAGTGTGATAGAGTTGCACTCCGGGTCGCCCACACACTGTTGAAGGTACATTGTATCCACTCCTGTCATGCATGTTCAGCATGCAAACATACAGTACAGTATGTGGCTACAAAAGCTGTGGAGTGAGGAGCAAACAGGTGGTAGTCTTACCCCATATACCACTGAAAGTCAACAAAAAAAGGTAATTTATCCCAGCATTGATCTCAGATCGTAAAAGCTTAGGCTAAAAGGGAGAAATTACAAATTCTCCTGCCGCTGTGGCGAAGGATTTAGCCTTCCAGCAAAAAAGAAACAGTGCAAAACAGACATTACTGCATTATTAAGGACAGGTGTTTCTCATTCTACAAGGTTTTTGCTGCCATGTAAGGTCTAATTTTACAGAAATTAAACCCTGTGAAATTGATGGTGTAAACACTGACTGAGCCAACAATGATATAACAGATTTGAAGCTTGTATTCGTATGTACATATGGGTGACAAATTAAAGGAAAAACGAACACAAACCTCATAGTCTCTGGAACCCTCTCCATTCTCCCATATGTGTTTAACTGATTCACATCATTTTCATTCTAATTAAACGATTCAATGAACCATCAAAATTCTGCATTTGTCATCTTTCTCCATTCATTCGTTCAGGTTTTCCCTTTAATTTGTCACCTCTCTGTATGTATTTACATTAAGCAAACAAAAGACGCTGCTATATGTGATATTTCACAACTATTTTAAAAGGACCAGTGTGTACGATTTAGTGACGTATAGCGGTGAAGTTTCAGATTGCAACTAAATGAACACCACTCGCATCTGTTTCTGACGACCTGGGAATAAGAACAGACTTGTTTGTAGTTGTAGGAGAAAACTACAGAAGCTCGAGACTAGCAAAAAACGTGAAAGGGCCTCTCTACAGTCAGTTTTTGTCTATTCTGGGCTACTGTAGACACATGGTGGCTCAACATGGCAGACCCCATGGACCTTCTCCCTCTGTAGATAAAAATATATCATTCAAAGGTTCAAAATCACAATGATTTCTATATTCAGGAGACTGTACACTAATGTAAACACATATGAACTTTAGGTATATAAATGTTGGACCTTTAAGACTTCAAGACAAAACATTAAAGAAGTGGCATGTTGCTGTTGGATGCACATCCCAGTGTTATTTATGTTCTATTGAACTAATTTTAGTTAGTTCAATATGCAGTAAGTGCTTGTTTACAGCATGGTTTCAAAATCACTCACGTACCATTTTTATTTGAGTGTAAGCAGTAGTTGTTAATTGAGAGAGAAAGTAAGTTACACACTGGAACCAGTAACCCTTTGGTAGGTTTATTGTGCAGGAATACAAAATCCCATAAGGAAGGGTATGGTGGTTTCTCATGATGCTCTCAGATAAGATGATTTGAAGGTGGGATCCTGAACACTCATTCTCTCTCCATCACTCTGGGATTTTTTTTCTTCAGCATGTCATCTACTCCGAGCTTTGTGCGTGATGAAGTAATGGTGCAACTGAATGTAGCATCAGCCCTGCTCATTCCATGTCTAGCTTTTTGTAAAGTCCCTTTGTAAAGTCAGTCTAATGCTGTCTGATTTTGATTCACTTGATTATATAAGCTTCTTTCTTTGTTTTTGGGACCCAGTATTACTTTGTGCCTTTGGTTTCAGTTGTTATGTGTTTGTTCTCTTTTCTTTTGTTATGAATGCATTGCCATTAAAGTTAATCGCACAAAAAATACATTCTAAGAGATTTAACAATTGAAGAATGATCTCATCTTTTTCTTACTCATTTTTGTAACCCTTAATGTCGAGACATAAAGGTATTTGTTTTAGGTTTCATAGCTTGAAGTACTGGGATTGGATTTGCCAACAAATGTCTCTCCCCTCTGGTGTTTATGTAATCCAACGGCAGATAGAGCAGTCTAATCTGTGAAGACACGCTCACAGAGAGGAGGCTGCTGCACCGTTTGAGATGACAGCGTTAACTTGCATAAAGCCTGCCAATACGAATGAGTAACTCATCACCAAAACCAGTGTGTGTTTGTGTGTGTGTGTTTGTGTGTGCGCGCATGTGTGGTGCGTGAGATGAGGGGACAGCCGAGTGTAGGGGACCAGTTGGCGGCTGACTAAGCTTTTTTTTCCTGTTGCCTGCAGAGTGGTGCACTCACAAACACACATATAAAGTACACACACACACACACACTCCCACGCTGAAACTGCCCACAAGGGAGTAATCAGCCTTGGGTTTATCTGCTCTCCCCTATTCTCCTCCATTTGAATAACAATTGCTGTTTGTGTCTGGGCACCGACATCGATCAACGAGCCCCCAAACTGCATAATTCTCCCTCTCCATCGTCCTTTCCCCCCTATCTATGCTGTTTCAAACTTTTATTTTTCTACTCTCCTTTTATCTCTGGCACTTCCATTTTTTATCGTTCTCTCAGTCTTGTTTCCTACACTCTTAAAGCACCTCTCTGTCGTTATTCTGTCCTCCTTAATACTGCATGTGCTGCTGTGAAACAAAGTGCAACTCCCAATTTCTCTGGTGGGTAAACAGTGCAATATAACCCCAATCTAAAATAATGGGCCGCTACGAGCAAGAAAGAAAGACTATTGCTTGCTCAAGGAGTAAGGAGCAGTGTCCTTTACAATAAGTGATGCCAGGGTGTTACACAACAAGTCGCTCCTCGAGGCGAAGAGAGTTTTTTTTCTCCAACGTGAGCCAGATAATGAGTGGGAGAGATGGAGGGAGGCATTTATAGAAGACCAAGAAGCGAAATAATAGATAGTGTTTGTGTAACTTAAGGGAGATAGATGATGGGATAATGTTTCTTAGACAGTGCGGAGGAGCATGTAAAGTCAATGGACAACAGGGAGCTTTCTCAGCACCTTTGTGTGTCTGTATACAATTCTAGTAATGAGAAAAGATGGAGGTCAAATCAGTAGGATGGCAAAAACTGTAAAACGCTCAAAAGAACTTCTGTCTCAAGCTGTGTGAGTAAAGGGGACACTTAAAGTCTTAGATTTGTGTTGTTTAATAATTCAAACAAAACTTTTTTTTGGTGGGACTGGTATAGTATTTTTTTGTTGGGCCACTGCTTTTAACCTAAATCTGCCATGTCTACCACAGCTAGAGATGTCCAATATGTCCCACAAAGTCTCATAATATCCTCCAGAGAACAGGTGTTATCTTGCTGCTTTTAATCAAACATGGGGAATACGTGTTTGTGTGTGTGTGTGTGTGTGTGTGGTTGAAGCAACAGCAATGCCCTAACTCCACGTACAACTTGTCTAGTGTCTGCTGTCAGTGGAAACACTGCTAATATCTGCTCCTGCTATGAGGCAGAGAGCAACAGGTACAGAAACACTGTCAACAGTAAACATACAGAAAGAACTGAGAAAAACCAGCATTATTCTTAGCATTAACGAGGTGTATGCATATGCTAGAAGGGAGAAGCAAATATAAACACCTACATGTTTTGGTTTACACTCCCTCAACAAAGCATTTATTTTCAGTAGTTGGGAGAGTAATTAAAGCATTTCATTTTGTTTCTCCGTTTGTAGGATAAACGTGGGTTAAACTATGGGAAAAAATGTCACAAACACTGCAGCTGGCTTGTGTATTAAAATGGCAGATCCTTCAATTAGGAGACGTTTTCTGCTCAATGAGAGCCAACTCCCTGTCAGCACAGGCAGGCCTGTGAATCTGGCAAAACAATATGTATCATGATACAAGGGTTATGATTCAATATACTGTG